GGGTGGGGGTGGGGGGTGTGGGGGTGTCAGGAGGGGGAGGAGGGGGGTGGTGGGTTAAAGGGGGGGGGGGGTGTGGGGAGGTGGAGGGAGGGAAGGGGGGGGTGGTGGAGGGTGGGGGAGCAGTCAGGATCGATCCACTGCTGGATGAAGGCCCACACACACACAAACACACACACAGACAACAACAACAACCGCCATTCGCCACTAAGTGGCGGTGACGTCACCACGACGCTTGTGCCAGGCTATGTGCACCCTGAGGCCACGTGAAGTGTCGAACGCCCGCGGGCAGGAGGTCACGGGGCAGACCCAGGTGCCACGGGTCGACTGACTGAGATGACTGGCTGATGCACCACCTGTGCCCCCTACTGTGCCAACCTGCTGTGCTTTAGCCACCCGGCGCTCCGCTCGTTGTTGTGAGCGTCGCTCCTCCGCCCTTCGTTGTTGTTGGAGGGCGACTGCCTCCAACTGCCCAGTAGCGTCCATCACGAGCCTCCTCCACAGAGGCCGATCTTGACACCGCTGGTACCAGTCATCGGCAAGTCCACTCAGCTCCACGTCCTCCTGTACCACATCACTCCATCTCTTCTCTAGCCCGTGTCGCGCCCGTTTAGCCTCCTCGATCCGGCCGAACAAAAGCTGTTTCGGCATGCGGTGGCTGGGCATGCGGGCTACATGACCCAGCCAACGCAGCCTTGCCTGCCGGAGGAGCTCACCGATGGGACCTTGCCCAGATCATTCAAGGATTTGTGAGCTCCTCACACAATCCAGCCTGGTTAAACCCAGGATGGATCGTAGGCAGGCTAGACTAAATGTTTCTAACCGGCGAAGATGTTCCATTAGGGGGGTTCACGTTTCGCAAGCGTAGAGAAGGGAGGGAATGACCGTGGCCGAGAAGACCTGAAGCTTAGTGTGGAGCGACAGACCAGGTAGCTTCCACACAGCGTTACGCAAGCGATGAAAAGATATTGCCGCTCGACTGATTCGGAGTGAGACGTCTGCTGTTAAACTAGAGCTGCTCAAAAGCACACTGCCCAGGTATGGGAAACTCTCCACTCTCTCCACAACTGCCCCGTCACCGATTGGGAGTTGTGGGGGTGGCGTGTCCGATGGTACAAAATACCCAGGCAGGTGTTTAGTATTGGTGGGGCTGATGGGAAGGCCCCATCTCTTAGTGGCACGCTCCAGTCTCAGCAGCAGCGTCTCCAACTCCTCCTCTGAATGAGCAGCTATTACCAAATCATCGGCATACATAACGTGGTTGAGCAATAGGGAGCCATCTCTTGACCGCACCCGGGCATCGAACAGCCTCCCATTATATCTATACCATATGGAGATTCCCCCGGTACAGCTATTGAAGGCTTCACGAACTACGTGGTCAAAATAGATATTAATTAAAGTGGGAGCCAGAGGACATCCCTGTTGCACCCCAAGGTGTACAGGGAATGGCTCTGACTCCCGGCCACGTAGTTTTACCCGGGCCCGCTCACCATCATGAAGGTCCTTAATGATCGTGAGCAGAGGGTCAGGTACTCCAAAAGCACGAAGAACAACCCAGAGCCCAGGCCTACTGATGGTATCATAGGCCTTGACCAGGTCAATAAAGCAGAGATGTAGGTCTTGCTGGAATTCCCTACACCTCTGCTGTAGCAGACGGACAGAAAATATGGCATCTTTGCAGGACCACCCTTTCCTGAAACCGCATTGGGGCTCCGCAAGCCTCTCCTCAGCGTGCCTGGCAAGGCAATGTTGAATAATCCTTGCCAGGACCTTTCCCGGTACACGTAGGAGTGAGATGCTGCGGTAAGCCGGCTCATTCTCTGATGTGGGATTCTGTAGCCAATGACAGTGGGCCTGTTGCTTTTTCTCAACCATCCTGAACACCTCCTCTGTCAGCCAGGGTCTCTGGGGAGGTCTGGACCGCGTACCCAAAGCAGCCAATGCAGCTGCATGAGTGACAGTCCTAAACCTCGCCCATTTACCCTCGACATCAGGAGGAGTGGGGGACGATGCCAACCCCAGCCGTAGGCAATGATGAAATTCTCGCTTGCAACTTTCATCAGATAACTGAGACCAGGCCACTTTAGGTTGGAATGGGGTCCTGGGTGTACACCCACCACCGGAGCGGAAGAATGGCAGGCGCATCTTACAGATGACAAGTCGATGGTCAGAGGGCAGATCAGCTCCACGGTAGGTCCTGGTGTCAAGGACATGGGCTCGCATCCGCTGGTCCGTCACTATGTAGTCCAGCAGATGTTCTTGCTTGGACCCGGCATGCATCCATGATGTTGTGTGGATGCGCCGATGCCGGAACAGCGTGTTGGTAATTACAAGCCCATGGGCTGCACAAAAATCTAGCAACCTCCTACCGTTGTTATTGAGCTGATCTGGCCCATGCCCTCCAATCACTCCAGACCAGGTGCCAGCATCATGACCAACTCGGGCATTGAAGTCACCCAACAAGATGACTCTATCCCAAGGGGCCACTTTAGCCAGCACCTGTGACAGGAGTTCATAGAAGGCATCCGACTCATCGGCTTTGCCTGCATCCCTCCACGGATGTTCGTCTTCGGTGGGGGCATAAGAAGCCACGACCACCACTCCACGCCTCCGAATGATGGGAAGGCGAGCCCAAAATAGCCTGGGGCTTACAGCTTCCCACACCTCACCACCACGCTCCCACGCCCCCTACATTATTTTGTTCAAAAGAGCCACAACCTGTTGTTTAGCAGTCTGCTGCCCCGAGTAGAGGACTGTCCACCCCTCATGGTGGCAGGAGCCAAAACCGGTCCACCGGACCTCCTGAATGCCACAGAGATCCAGGCGGTACCGGTCCAGCTCCCGACAGAGGAGTGGCAGCCTCTCCTCCACCAGTGAGCGTTCGAACATTCCACGTGGCCACACGAAGTGGCTTTTCGTTGTTTCTGGAGGAGCCCCGAGGGTACAGATTCAAATCTCCTGGCTCCGCCAATTGGGTTTTGGCCAGGAGACGTCATAAACGCCTGTCCCCCCGGGGCCTATAGCACAAGCTTATTAGTTAGATATTTTAGACGTGGTTTAGTGGTAAATTTTTGAAGGTGGAGGGGTTACCAGCCCCTCGCACCCGTCCAGAGCCCCCGTTTAGCCCCTGTGGTGGTCACAGATGCCATGAGGAGAGGAACCAATTGGAATTGGACCTCCCCCCACAGCACTGTCCACGACAGAGTTGCCCGTCCGGCACCGCGAGGAGGTAGGGGGTTGTTTTGCCCACACACACACACACAGACACACACACACAGACAGACACACACTTTAATGTTTTTCTAGGAAGAGGTCTTCTTCTTGATTTGAAGCTTTCGTGACTGCTGGAATCGCTTTGGTTATTTCATCCAGCAGTGGACTGCTGCTGGATTCTACTTCTTCCCGCCTGGGGCCGACCGCTTGTGTTGCACCCGAAACGTCGTTATTTATTTTATTTTATACCTACGTCACTTTAGCGAAAGAACACATGGGGAGACATGGTCTACTTCTCTCACACACCGCTACTACTTTCCCGTTCCAACCCACGACACTTCTCAATCTACCACTCGCCCGAGCCCCCCATTGGCTAACATGGGAGGGGTCTACTTCTCTCACACACCGCTACTACTTTCCCGTTCCAATCTACAACACCTGTCAATCTACCACTCGCCCTAGCCCCCCCATTGGCTAACATGGGAGGGGTCTACTTCTCTCACACACCGCTACTACTTTCCCGTTCCAATCCACGACGCTTCTCAATCTACCACTCGCCTGAGCCCCCCATTGGCTAAGATGGGAGGGGTCTACTTCTCTCACACACCGCTACTACTTTCCCGTTCCAATCCACGACACCTCTCAATCTACCACTCGCCCGAGCCCCCCATTGGCTAACATGGGGGGGGGGGTCTACTTCTCTCACACATCGCTACTACTTTCCCGTTCCAATCCACGACACTTCTCAATCTACCACTCGCCCGAGCTCCCCATTGGCTAACATGGGAGGGGTCTACTTCTCTCACACACCGCTACTACTTTCCCGTTCCAATCCACGACACCTCTCAATCTACCACTCGCCCGAGCCCCCCATTGGCTAACATGGGAGGGGTCTACTTCTCTCACACACCGCTACTACTTTCCCGTTCCAATCCACGACACTTCTCAATCTACCACTCGCCCGAGCTCCCCATTGGCTAACACGGGAGGGGGTTTACTTCTCTCACACACCGCTACTACTTTCCCGTTCCAATCCACGACACTTCTCAATCTACCACTCGCCCGAGCTCCCCATTGGCTAACATGGGAGGGGTCTACTTCTCTCACACACCGCTACTACTTTCCCGTTCCAACCCACGACACTTCTCAATCTACCACTTGCCCGAGCCCCCCATTGGCTAACATGGGAGGGGTCTACTTCTCTCACACACCGCTACTACTTTCCCGTTCCAATCTACGACACTTCTCAATCTACCACTCGCCCGAGCTCCCCATTGGCTAACATGGGAGGGGGTCTACTTCTCTCACACACCGCTACTACTTTCCCGTTCCAATCTACAACACCTGTCAATCTACCACTCGCCCGAGCTCCCCATTGGCTAACATGGGAGGGGGTCTACTTCTCTCACACGCCGCTACTACTTTCCCATTCCAATCTACAACACCTGTCAATCTACCACTCGCCCGAGCCCCCCATTGGCTAACATGGGGGGGGGGGGGTCTACTTCTCTCACACACCGCTACTACTTTCCCGTTCCAATCCACGACGCTTCTCAATCTACCACTCGCCCGAGCTCCCCATTGGCTAACACGGGAGGGGTCTACTTCTCTCACACACCGCTACTACTTTCCCGTTCCAATCCACGACACTTCTCAATCTACCACTCGCCCTAGCCCCCCCATTGGCTAACATGGGAGGGGGTCTACTTCTCTCACACACCGCTACTACTTTCCCGTTCCAATTTATAAAGCACCCTCCCCAATGCCACCCACTGGAATGGTTGCCGGGTGGTTGCAGTCTTACCCGAGTGGTTGAAGGTCGTGACGGTGCTGGAGGAGTGGAGCGAGGTGGAGGGAGAGCCACCCCCGCCTCGGGACGTCACTTGGTATCGCCCAGGCCTCACCACTCTGCTCACAGACGTCTAAGAAGAGACAAAGATTCCCCCCGACCCCCGCATCAGGACGTCACTTGGTATCTCCCAGGCCTCACCACGCTGCTCACAGACGTCTAAGAAGAGACAAAGATTCCCCCCCCACATCAAGACGTCACTTGGTATCTCCAAAGCCTCACCACTCTGCTCACAGACGTCTAAGAAGTAACAAAGATTCACCCCCCCTCAGGACGTCACTTGGTATCTCCCAGGCCTCACCACTCTGCTCACAGACGTCTAAGAAGAGACAAACATCCCCCCCCCCCGCATCAAGACATCACTTGGTATCTCCCAGGCCTCACCACTCTGCTCACAGATGTCTAAGAAGAGACAAAGATCCCCCCCCCGCATCAAGACATCACTTGGTATCTCCCAGGCCTCACCACTCTGCTCACAGATGTCTAAGAAGAGACAAAGATCCCCCCCCCGCATCAAGACATCACTTGGTATCTCCCAGGCCTCACCACTCTGCTCACAGACGTCTAAGAAGAGACAAAGATCCCCCCCCCCCCGCATCAAGACATCACTTGGTATCTCCCAGGCCTCACCACTCTGCTCACAGACGTCTAAGAAGAGACAAAGATCCCCCCCCCCCGCATCAAGACATCACTTGGTATCTCCCAGGCCTCACCACTCTGCTCACAGACGTCTAAGAAGAGACAAAGATCCCCCCCCCCCCGCATCAAGACATCACTTGGTATCTCCCAGGCCTCACCACTCTGCTCACAGACGTCTAAGAGACAAAGATTCCCCCCCTGCCTCAGAACGTCACTTGGTATCTCCCAGGCCTCACCACTCTGCTCACAGACGTCTAAGAAGAGACAAAGATCCCCCCCCCGCATCAAGACATCACTTGGTATCTCCCAGGCCTCACCACTCTGCTTCATGTTTCCCTCCCTTCCATCCCCTTCCTCAACCCTCCCCTCTGCCCCCCCCACCACCACCCCACCAATCCCTCCCCATCCTCACCACATCAGAGGCCGCTCCACCACCTCCACCTCCACCACCACCTCCACCACCCTTTGTCCGAGGGGCGAGGTGGACGCTGTGGTTGCTGCTGTGGTTGTTGCTGTGGTTGTTGCTGTGGTTGTTGCTGTGGTTGTTGCTGTGGTTGTTGCTGTGGTTGTTGCTGTGGTGGTGGTGGTGGTGGCGTTGCTGAGCCGGCCGCGAGCGCTCAGCCCCCCGCAACTCTAACTTGGTGGGCGGCAGGAACGGGGCGATGACGGCACGGAGCTCCTCACTCGGGGGACGCGACAGCGGAGAGCCCCGGTGCATCTGGGGGGGGGTGGGACACGTGGGGGGGGTGGGACACGTGGGGGGGGTGGGACACGTGGGGGGGGGACACGTGGGGGGGGGGGGGGGACACGTGGGGGGTGGGACACGTGGGGGGGGGGGACACGTGGGGGGGGGGGGACACGTGGGGGGGGGGGTGGGATACACATACAACGTACACCATACACACACACACTACACAGACCACACACACACACAACACACACCACACAACACACCATAGACACCACACCACACACACACGCCACACACACACCACACATACACCACACATACACACACACCACACACCACACCACACACACCATACACACCACACACACACACACCACACATACACCACACACACCACACACCACACCATACACACCACACACCACACACACACCACACACACACCACACCACACTACACCACACACCACACCATACACACCACACACCACACCATACACACACACACCACACACACACACCACACCACACACACCACACACATACACACCACACACACCACACACCACACCATACACACACCACACACACCACACACACCACACACACCACACACACACCACACACACACCACACACACACCACACCACACTACACCACACACCACACTACACCACACACCACACCATACACACACACACCACACACACACCACACACACACACACACCACACACACACACCACACACACCACACACACACACACCACACACCACACCATACACACACACCACACACACCACACACACACCACACACACACCACACACACCACACACACCACACACACATCACACACACACCACACACACCACACACACACCACACTACACCACACACACACCACACACACACCACACCACACACACACACCACACAAACATACACACACCACATACACACACACACACCACACCACACACACCACACACACACCACACACACACCACACACACACACACCACACACACACCACACACACACACTACACACACCACACACACACCACACAACACACACTACACACACACTACACACACCACACACACACCACACAACACACACACACCACACACACAACACACACACCACACACACCACACACACCACACACACCACACACACCACACACCACACAGACACGCACACACCACACACACCACAAACCACACACACACCACACACACCACACACCCCACACACACTACAACACACACCACACACACCACACACACCACACACCACACACACCAGACACACACTACACCACACACCACACACACACCACACACACTACACCACACACACACTACACCACACATCACACCACACGGGTACAGACGATTGCCACTCACCATGGTAGTCAACAGAGGGTCGGGAAACTCTGCGGAGTTGCCAACTCCTGCGGAAGACAACAACAACAACAAACAACCAGGTCAGTTGCAGGTGGCATCAGCGCGGAGAGCGTGCGTGTGTGTGTCTGTGTGTATCTGTGTGTGTCTGTGTGTCTGTGTGTGTGTCTGTGTCTGTGAGTCTCTGTGTGTGTCTGTGAGTCTGTGTGTGTGTGTGTCTGTGAGTCTCTGTGTGTGTCTGTGAGTCTGTGTGTGTGTGTGTGTCTGTGAGTCTCTGTGTGTCTGTGACTCTCTGTGTGTGTGTCTGTGAGTCTGTGTGTGGGTGTCTGTGAGTCTCTGTGTGTGTGTCTGTGAGTCTCTGTGTGTGTCTGTGTGTGTCTGTGAGTTTCTGTGTGTGTGTCTGTGTGTGTCTGTGAGTCTCTGTGTGTGTCTGTGAGTCTCTGTGTGTGTGTCTGTGTGTGTCTGTGAGTCTCTGTGTGTGTCTGTGAGTCTTTGTGTGTGTGTCTGTGCGTGTGTCTGTGCGTGTGTCTGTGTGTGTCTGTGAGTCTCTGTGTGTGTCTGTGAGTCTCTGTGTGTGTGTGTCTGTGTGGGTCTGTGAGTCTCTGTGTGTGTCTGTGTGTGTGTGCGTGTGTTTGTGTCTGTATGTGAATCTCTGTGTGTGTCTGTGAGTCTCTGTGTGTGTGTGTCTGTTTGTCTCTGTGTGTGTCTGTGAGTCTCTGTGTGTCTGTGAGTCTCTGTGTGTGTCTGTGGGTCTTTGTGTGGTGAGTCTGTGAGTCTCTGTGTGGTGAGTCTATGTATGTTGAACTTATTTCGCACTGTACATAGCCAACCGGGCCCTGCTAGAGGCTACACGGGGGACCTTTGTCTGTGTGTCTATAGGGCACTGCTGCTGCTACTCACAGCACTTGCCCCTACAGCCCTGTAGAGGCTACACGGGGGACCTTTGTCTGTGTGTCTATAGGGCACTGCTGCTGCTACTCACAGCACTTGCCCCTACAGCCCTGCTAGAGGCTACCCGGGGCCCCCTTTGTCTCTGTGCCTACCGACGTCCGCCTCCGGCCAGGCGGCCATGACAGTGCCGCCCCTCTCAAGCTCCTCCCCCTCCCCATCGCCGTCAGTCGGCCCGTCGCTCGGTCCGGACCACCGCCTCCCTCTGCCGCCGCCACCACCACCACCGCCACCACCGCCACCACCGCCACCACCGCCACCACCACCGCCACCACCGCCACCACCGGCGGTACGGTCGTCGGCCGTGCCTGGGTAAGGGGCCAGGCGTCCGGTGGAGACGCCTCGGCGCAAGGTGCCGGACAGCTTGAGGTTGTGGAAGCGGTTGGACATGCGGCTCCACCAGAGCTGGACAAATACACAGACACGTGTCTCTCTCTCAGGGGGTTCACGGTGGCCGTGTCGGAGACGCTGAGGGCCTGGGTTCAAGCCCTGGGTCTGGGTGTCTCTCCCCGTGTGTCTCTCTCTGTGTGTCTCTCTCTGCGTGTCTCCGTGTCTCTCTCCCCGTGTGTCTCCGTGTCTCTCTCTGTGTGTCTCTCTCTGTGTGTCTCTCTCTGCGTGTCTCCGTGTCTCTCTCCCCGTGTGTCTCCGTGTCTCTCTCTGTGTGTCTCTCTCTGTGTGTCTCTCCCCGTGTGTCTCCGTATCTCTCTCCCCGTGTGTCTCCGTGTCTCTCTCTGTGTGTCTCTCCCCGTGTGTCTCCGTGTGTCTCTCCCCGTGTGTCTCCGTGTCTCTCCCCGTGTGTCTCCGTGTCTCTCTCCCCGTGTGTCTCCGTGTCTCTCTCCCCGTGTGTCTCCGTGTCTCTCTCCCCGTGTGTCTCCGTGTCTCTCTCTGTGTGTCTATCTCTGTGTGTGTCTCTCTCTGTGTGTCTCTCTCTGTGTGTCTCTCTCTGTGTGTGTCTCTCTCCGTGTGTCTCTCTCCCCGTGTCTCTCCCCGTGTGTCTCCGTGTGTCTCTCTCCCCGTGTCTCTCCCCGTGTGTCTCTCTCTGTGTGTCTCTCTCCCCGTGTCTCTCCCAGTGTCTCTCCCCGTGTGTCTCCGTGTCGCTCCCCGTGTGTCTCCGTGTGTCTCTCTCCCCGTGTCTCTCCCCGTGTCTCTCCCCGTGTGTCTCCGTGTGTCTCTCTCCCCGTGTCTCTCCCCGTGTGTCTCTCTCTGTGTGTCTCTCTCCCCGTGTCTCTCCCCGTGTCTCTCCCCGTGTGTCTCCGTGTCTCTCCCCGTGTGTCTCCGTGTCTCTCCCCGTGTGTCTCCGTGTCTCTCCCCGTGTGTCTCCGTGTCTCTCTCCCCGTGTGTCTCCGTGTGTCTCTCTCCCCGTGTGTCTCCGTGTGTCTCTCTCCCCGTGTGTCTCCGTGTGTCTCTCTCCCCGTGTGTCTCCGTGTGTCTCTCTCCCCGTGTGTCTCCGTGTCTCTCTCCCCGTGTGTCTCCGTGTCTCTCTCTGTGTGTCTCTCTCTGTGTGTGTCTCTCTCTGTGTGTCTCTCTCTGTGTGTCTCTCCCCGTGTGTCTCCGTGTGTCTCTCCCCGTGTCTCTCCCCGTGTCTCTCCCCGTGTGTCTCCGTGTGTCTCTCCCCCCGTGTCTCTCCCCGTGTCTCTCCCCGTGTGTCTCCGTGTCTCTCCCCGTGTGTCTCTCTCTGTGTGTCTCCGTGTCTCTCTCCCCGTGTGTCTCCGTGTGTCTCTCTCCCCGTGTGTCTCCGTGTCTCTCCCCGTGTGTCTCCGTGTCTCTCTCCCCGTGTGTCTCTCTCTGTGTGTCTCTCTCTGTGTGTCTCCTTGTCTCTCTCTGTGTGTCTCTCTCTGTGTGTCTCCGTGTCTCTCTCTGTATGTCTCTCTCTGTGTGTCTCCGTGTCTCTCTCTGTGTGTCTCCGTGTCTCTCTCCCCGTGTGTCTCCGTGTCTCTCCCCGTGTGTCTCCGTGTCTCTCTCCCCATGTGTCTCTCTCTGTGTGTCTCTCTCTGTGTGTCTCCGTGTCTCTCTCCCCGTGTGTCTCTCTCTGTGTGTCTCTCTCTGTGTGTCTCCGTGTCTCTCTCTGTGTGTCTCTCTCTGTGTGTCTCCGTGTCTCTCCCTGTGTGTCTCCGTGTCTCTCTCCCCGTGTGTCTCCGTGTCTCTCTCTCTGTGTGTTTCTCTCTCTGTGTGTCTCCGTGCCTCTCCCCGTGTGTCTCTCTCTGTGTGTCTCTCTCTGTGTGTCTCCGTGTCTCTCTCTGTGTGTCTCTCTCTGTGTGTCTCCGTGTCTCTCCCCGTGTGTCTCCGTGTCTCTCTCCCCGTGTGTCTCCGTGTCTCTCTCTCTGTGTGTTTCTCTCTCTGTGTGTCTCCGTGCCTCTCCCCGTGTGTCTCCGTGTGTCTCTCTCCCCGTGTGTCTCCGTGTCTCTCTCCCCGTGTGTCTCCGTGTCTCTCTCCCCGTGTGTCTCCGTGTCTCTCTCTCTGTGTGTTTCTCTCTCTGTGTGTCTCCGTGTCTCTCTCTGTGTGTCTCTCTCTGTGTGTCTCCATGTCTCTCCCCGTGTGTCTCCGTGTCTCTCTCCCCGTGTGTCTCCGTGTCTCTCTCTGTGTGTCTCCGTGTCTCTCCCCGTGTGTCTCCGTGTCTCTCTCTCTGTGTGTTTCTCTCTCTGTGTGTCTCCGTGCCTCTCCCCGTGTGTCTCCATGTCTCTCCCCGTGTGTCTCCGTGTCTCTCCCCGTGTGTCTCCGTGTGTCTCTCTCCCCGTGTCTCTCTCCCCGTGTCTCTCTCCCCGTGTCTCTCTCCCCGTGTGTCTCTCTCTCTCTGTGTCTCTCTCCCCGTGTGTCTCTCTCCCCGTGTCTGTGTCTCTCTCTCTCTCTCTCCGCCACCTTGAGACCGCCGTGCCGGGGGCCTGCGTCTCCGTCCGGAGTCGTCTTGCCGTTGTTGCCGTCCCTGCTGCCGCCGCCGCTGCCGCGTGTCTCCCTCCGCGTGTCTCCCTCGCCGCTGCCGCGTGTCTCCCTCCGCGTGTCTCCCTCCCGCTGCCGCGTGTCTCCGCTGGCGCGGCGTGCGGGCGACGGCAACGGGGGCAGGAGGAGGCCGCGGGACTTGCGGCCCGCGGGGCAGCGGCCGGGGGCCTCCGGCCTACGCGTGGACACGGAGCCCAGGAAGCGAACCAACTCCGTGTCTGGGATGAGACGCGCGGAGAGAGAGACACGGAGAGAGAGAGAGAGACACAGAGAGTGAGAGGCGCGGAGAGAGAGACACGGAGAGAGAGAGACACAGAGAGTGAGACGCGCGGAGAGAGAGACACGCAGAGAGACACAGAGACACACAGAGAGTGAGACGCACAGAGAGTGAGACGCACAGAGAGTGAGACGCACGGAGAGTGAGACACACACACAGTAAGACACACACACAGTGAGACACACACACAGTGAGACACAGAGAGAGACACACAGAGAGAGACACACAGAGACACAGAGAGAGACACACAGAGAGTGAGACACACAGAGAGAGAGACACACAGAGACACACAGAGAGTGAGACAGAGAGAGACACACAGAGAGTGAGACACAGAGAGTGAGACACACAGAGAGTGAGACAGAGAGAGACACGCGGAGAGAGAGACACGGAGAGAGAGAGAGACACAGAGAGTGAGAGGCGCGGAGAGAGAGACACGCAGAGAGAGAGAGACACACAGAGACACACAGAGAGTGAGACAGAGAGAGACACACAGAGAGTGAAACACAGAGAGTGAGACACACGGAGAGAGACACAGAGAGTGAGAGGCGCGGAGAGAGAGACACGCAGAGAGAGAGAGACACACAGAGACACACAGAGAGTGAGACACAGAGAGAGACACACAGAGAGTGAGACACAGAGAGTGAGACACACGGAGAGAGACACACAGAGAGTGAGACAGAGAGAGACACACAGAGAGTGAGACACAGAGAGTGAGACACACGGAGAGAGACACACAGAGAGTGAGACACACAGAGAGACACACAGAGAGAGACACACAGAGAGAGAGACACACAGACAGTGAGACACACACACAGAGACACACACAGAGAGAGACACACAGAGAGTGACACACAGACAGTGAGACACACAGAGAGAGAGACACACAGACAGTGAGACACACACACAGAGACACACACAGAGAGAGACACACAGAGAGACACACACAGAGAGACACACACAGAGAGAGACACACAGAGAGTGAGACACACAGAGAGTGAGACACACAGAGAGTGACACACAGAGAGTGAGACACACACACAGAGACACACACAGAGAGAGACACACAGAGAGACACACACAGAGAGACACACACAGAGAGTGAGACACACAGAGAGTGAGACACACACACAGAGAGAGACACACAGAGAGTGAGACACACACACAGTGAGACACACAGAGAGTGAGACACACACAGATAGAGACACACAGAGAGAGACACACACAGAGACACACAGAGAGAGAGAGACACACACAGAGACACACACAGAGAGAGACACACAGACAGAGACACACAGAGAGAGACACACAGAGAGAGACACACAGAGAGTGAGACACACACACAGTGAGACACACAGAGAGTGAGACACACAGAGAGTGAGACACACACAGACAGAGACACACAGAGAGAGACACACAGAGAGAGACACACACAGACAGTGAGACACACAGAGAGTGAGACACACACAGACAGAGACACACAGACAGAGACACACAGAGAGAGACACACACAGAGTGAAACACACAGAGAGTGAGACACACACAGTGAGACACAGAGAGTGAGACACACACACAGACAGAGACACACAGAGAGAGACACACACAGAGACACACAGAGAGAGACACACAGAGAGACACACAGAGAGTGAGACACACACACAGTGAGACACACAGAGAGTGAGACACACACAGATAGAGACACACAGAGAGAGACACACACAGAGACACACACAGAGAGAGAGACACACACAGAGACACACACAGAGAGAGACACACAGACAGAGACACACAGAGAGAGACACACAGAGAGTGAGACACACAGAGAGTGAGACACACACAGACAGAGACACACAGAGAGAGACACACAGAGAGAGACACACACAGACAGTGAGACACACAGAGAGTGAGACACACACAGACAGAGACACACAGACAGAGACACACAGAGAGAGACACAGAGAGAGAGAGACACACACACAGAGAGAGACACACACAGAGAGAGACACAGAGAGAGAGAGAGACACACACACAGTGAGACACACAGAGAGTGAGACACACACACAGACAGAGACACACAGAGAGAGACACACAGAGAGACACACAGAGAGTGAGACACACACACAGTGAGACACACAGAGAGTGAGACACACACAGATAGAGACACACAGAGAGAGACACACACAGAGACACACACAGAGAGAGAGACACACACAGAGACACACACAGAGAGAGACACACAGACAGAGACACACAGAGAGAGACACACAGAAAGTGAGACACACACACAGAGACACACACACAGAGACACACACACAGAGAGACACACACAGAGACACACACAGAGAGAGTGAGACACACAGAGTGATACACACACAGAGAGTGAGATACACACAGACAGAGACACACAGAGTGATACACACAGAGAGACACACAGAGAGTGAGACACACAGAGTGATACACACAGAGTGAGACACACACACAGAGAGAGACACACACAGAGACACACAGAGTGAGACACACACAGACAGAGACACACACAGAGAGACACACACAGAGACACACACAGAGAGAGTGAGAGTCCAAGAATCGCCCCGCCTCCTCCTCCTCCTCCTCCTCCCCCTCCCCCTCCCCCCCGTGCCCCCGCCAACCGTCGTGGCTGAGCAGGGTGACGAGGTTGAAGGCCGTGCAGCCGTTCCTCGCCCTGACGCTCACATCAGCTCCACGCTGCACCAGCAGCCGCACCACGTCCGTGTGTCTGTCAACAACCACAACAACATTCACAACAACATCAACAACAACATTCACAACAACAACAACATTCACAACAACAACAACAACATTCACAACAACAACATTCACAACAACAACAACATTCACAACAACAACAACAACATTCACAACATTCACAACAACAACCACAACAACAACAACCACGTCCGTGTGTCTGTCAACAACAACAACAACATTCACAACAACAACATTCACAACAACAACATTCACAACAACAACAACAACAACATTCACAACAACCACAACAACAACAACCACGTCCGTGTGTCTGTCAACAACAACAACAACATTCACAACAACAACATTCACAACAACAACAACAACATTCACAACAACCACAACAACAACAACCACGTCCGTGTGTCTGTCAACAACAACAACATTCACAACAACAACATTCACAACAACAACAACATTCACAACAACCACAACAACAACAACCACGTCCGTGTGTCTGTCAACAACAACAACAACATTCACAACAACAACAACAACATTCACAACAACAACATTCACAACAACAACCACAACAACCACCACGTCCGTGTGTCTGTCAACAACAACAACAACATTCACAACAACAACAACAACAACATTCACAACAACAACATTCACAACAACAACAACCACAACAACAACAACCACAACAACCACAACAACAACAACCACAACAACAACAACCACCACGTCCGTGTGTCTGTCAACAACAACAACAACATTCACAACAACAACAACAACAACATTCACAACAACAACATTCACAACAACAACAACCACAACAACAACAACCACAACAACCACAACAACAACAACAACCACAACAACAACAACCACCACGTCCGTGTGTCTGTCAACAACAACAACAACATTCACAACAACAACAACATTCACAACAACAACATTCACAACAACAACAACCACAACAACAACAACCACAACAACCACAACAACAACAACAACCACAACAACAACAACCACCACGTCCGTGTGTCTGTCAACAACAAAAACAACATTCACAACAACAACAACAACAACATTCACAACAACAACATTCACAACAACAACAACCACAACAACAACAACCACAACAACAACAACCACAACAACCACAACAACAACAACAACCACAACAACAACAACCACCACGTCCGTGTGTCTGTCAACAACAACAACAACATTCACAACAACAACAACAACATTCACAACAACAACATTCACAACAACAACAACCACAACAACAACAACCACAACAACAACAACAACCACAACAACAACAACCACCACGTCCGTGTGTCTGTCAACAACAACAACAACATTCACAACAACAACAACATTCACAACAACATTCACAACAACATTCACAACAACAACCACATTCGTGTGTTTGTCAACAACAACAACAACATTCACAACAACAACAACAACATTCACAACAACCACAACAACAACAACATTCACAACAACAATAACAACATTCACAACAACCACAACAACAACAACCACGTCCGTGTGTCTGTCAACAACAACAACATTCACAACAACAACAACAACATTCACAACAACAACATTCACAACAACAACAACAACATTCACAACAACATTCACAACAACAACATTCACAACAACAACAACCACAACAACAACCACAACAACAACAACAACCACCACGTCCGTGTGTCTGTCAACAACAATAACAACCACAACAACATTCACAACAACCACAACAACAACCACCACGTCCGTGTGTCTGTCAACAACCACAACAACATTCACAACAACAACATTCACAACAACAACCACAACAACATTCACAACAACAACCACGTCCGCGTGTCTGTCAACAACAACATTCACAACAACAACAACCTACCCCTACGTCCGTGTGTTTGTCAACAACAACAACCACCACCACCACCACGTCCGCGTGTCTGTCAACAACAACCACCACCACGTCCGTGTGTCTGTCAACAACAACAACATTCAACACAAAAACCACCCACACGCTCACCCCCTCTTACTCACCACGCTCACCCACATGCTCACTCACCCACACGCTCACCCACACACTCACTCACACTCACTCACTCGCTCACGCACTCACCATCACACTCACATCCACTCAACGACACACTCACCCCTCCACACACTCACCCACACACTCACTCACCAACACACTCACTCACTCACTCACCCATTCAATTACCCACACACTCACCCACTCATTCACTCACTAACCCACCCACTCACCCACACACTCACTCACCCACACACTCACTCACTCGCTCACTCACTCACCCACACACACCCTCACACTCACACCCACTCAACCACACACTCACCCCTCCACACACTCACTCACATGCTCACTCACCCACACACTCACCCACACGCTCACCCACACGCTCACCCACACGTTCACCCACACGCTCACCCACGTGCTCACCCACACGCTCACTCACACTCACCCACGTGCTCACCCACGTGCTCACCCACACGCTCACTCACACTCACCCACGTGCTCACCCACGTGCTCACCCACACGCTCACTCACACTCACCCACGTGCTCACCCCCACGTGCTCACCCCCCACCCCCACGTGCTCACCCCCCACGTGCTCACCCCCAAGTGCTCACCCCCACGTGCTCACCCCCACGTGCTCACCCCCCACGTGCTCACCCCCACGTGCTCACCCCCACGTGCTCACCCCACCCCCACGTGCTCACCCCCACGTGCTCACCCCACCCCCACGTGCTCACCCCCACGTGCTCACCCCCAAGTGCTCACCCCCAAGTGCTCACCCCCACGTGCCCACCCCCACGTGCTCACCCCCACGTGCTCACCCCCACGTGCTCACCCCCACGTGCTCACCCCCAAGTGCTCACCCCCACGTGCTCACCCCCACGTGCTCACCCCCACGTGCTCACCCCCACGTGCCCACCCCCACGTGCTCACCCCCACGTGCTCACCCCCACGTGCTCACCCCCACGTGCTCACCCCCACGTGCTCACCCCCACGTGCTCACCCCCACGTGCTCACCCCCCACGTGCTCACCCCCCACGTGCTCACCCCCACGTGCTCACCCCACCCCCCACGTGCTCACCCCCACGTGCTCACCCCCAAGTGCTCACCCCCACGTGCCCACCCCCAAGTGCTCACCCCCACGTGCTCACCCCCAAGTGCTCACCCCCACGTGCTCACCCCCACGGGCTCACCCCCACGTGCCCACCCCCACGTGCTCACCCCACCCCCACGTGCCCACCCCCACGTGCTCACCCCCCATGTGCCCACCCCCACGTGCTCACCCCCACGTGCTCACCCCCACGTGCTCACCCCCACGTGCTCACCCCCACGTGCTCACCCCCACGTGCTCACCCCCACGTGCTCACCCCCCACGTGCTCACCCCCCACGTGCTCACCCCCACGTGCTCACCCCACCCCCCACGTGCTCACCCCCACGTGCTCACCCCCACGTGCTCACCCCCACGTGCTCACCCCCAAGTGCTCACCCCCACGTGCTCACCCCCACGTGCTCACCCCCACGTGCTCACCCCCACGTGCTCACCCCCACGTGCTCACCCCCACGTGCTCACCCCCACGTGCTCACCCCCAAGTGCTCACCCCCAAGTGCTCACCCCCACGTGCCCACCCCCACGTGCTCACCCACCCCCCACGTGCTCACCCCCACGTGCTCACCCCCACGTGCTCACCCCCAAGTGCTCACCCCCACGTGCCCACCCCCACGTGCTCACCCACCCCCACGTGCCCACCCCCACGTGCCCACCCCCACGTGCCCACCCCCACGTGCCCACCCCCACGTGCTCACCCACCCCCACGTGCCCACCCCCACGTGCTCACCCACCCCCCACGTGCTCACCCACCCCCACGTGCCCACCCCCACGTGCCCACCCACCCCCCACGTGCTCACCCACCCCCCACGTGCTCACCCGTGATAGGCTGCCTGCATGAGTGCCGTCCACCCGTTGGTGTGGTCCCGGTGGTCGAGCAGGGCCGGAGCGGCGTCCACGAGGGCCTCCACCAGGCCCACGTCACCCAGCACGGCCGCCAGAATCAGGGGGCTGGCGCCGTCCTGGCCCAGCCGCGAAGCCTGGGACCTTGCCGAGCCGCCGGCACCACCACCACCAACACCGGCAACACCAACACCAACACCGCCAACACCACCACCAACACCGGCACCACCACCACCAACACCGCCAACACCAACACCACCAACACCGCCAACACCGCCAACACCACCAACACCACCAACACCACCACCGGCACCACTGCCACCAACACCGCCAACACCGCCACCACCAACACCACCGCCACCGCCCTCCGCTTCTTCATCACCCTCCACCAGGAGGCGACGCGCCAGAGCCACGTCACCTTTGGGGGGGGGGTGGGGGGGAGGGGGGGAGTGGAGAGGGGGTTAGAGAGGAGGAGGTGAAGGGGGAGTGGAGGGGGGAGTGGAGGGGGAGTGGAGGAGGAGGTGAAGGAGGTGAAGGGGGAGGAGGTGAAGGAGGAGGTGAAGGAGGAGGTGAAGGGGGAGGAGGTGAAGGAGGAGAAGGAGGAGGTGAAGGAGGAGGTGAAGGAGGAGGGGGGGGGGGAGGGGAGGAGGAGGTGAAGGGGGAGGAGGTGAAGGAGGAGGTGAAGGAGGAGGTGAAGGGGGAGGAGGTGAAGGAGGAGAAGGAGGAGGAGAAGGAGGAGGTGAAGGAGGAGGTGAAGGAGGAGGGGAAGGAGGAGGTGAAGGAGGAGGTGAAGGAGGAGGTGAAGGAGGTGAAGGGGGAGGAGGTGAAGGAGGAGGTGAAGGAGGAGGTGAAGGGGGAGGAGGTGAAGGAGGAGAAGGAGGAGGTGAAGGAGGAGGTGAAGGAGGAGGTGAAGGAGGAGGGGGGGGAGGAGGAGGTGAAGGGGGAGGAGGTGAAGGAGGAGGTGAAGGAGGAGGTGAAGGAGGAGGTGAAGGAGCAGGTGAAGAAGGAGGTGAAGGAGGAGGTGAAGGAGGAGGTGAAGGAGGAGGTGAAGGAGGAGGTGAAGGAGGAGGTGAAGGAGGGGAGGAGGAGGGGGAGGGGAGGGAGGTTCAGAGTGGCCGTGTCCCCGCTTTGTGCACCTGTGAGGCTCACTGACACGCTGAGCTCGAGCCCGGGGTCTGGGTCACTCTCTAACACTCACATTCACACTCACTCACACTCTCACACTCACACTCTCACACTCACACTCTCTCTCTAACACTCACACTCTCACACTCACACTCTCACACTCTCTCTCTAACACTCACACTCTCACACTCTCTCTCACACTCTCACACTCACATTCACACTCACATTCACACTCACACTCTCACTCTCTCACACTCACATTCACACTCACTCACACTCTCACACTCACACTCTCACACTCACACTCTCACACTCACACTCTCACACTCACACTCTCTCTCTAACACTCACACTCTCACACTCACACTCTCACACTCTCTCTCTAACACTCACACTCTCACACTCTCTCTCACACTCTCACACTCACATTCACACTCACATTCACACTCACACTCTCACTCTCTCACACTCACATTCACACTCACACTCTCACTCTCTCACACTCTCACACTCTCACACTCTCACACTCACACTCTCACACTCTCACTCTCACACTCTCTCTCTAACACTCACACTCTCACTCTCTCACACTCACATTCACACTCACACTCTCACTCTCTCACACTCACATTCACACTCTCACACTCACACTCTCACACTCTCTAACACTCACACTCTCTCTCTAACACTCACACTCTCTCACTCTCTCTCTCACACTCTCACACTCACATTCACACTCACACTCTCACTCTCTCACACTCACATTCACACTCTCACACTCACACTCTCACACTCTCTAACACTCACACTCTCTCTCTAACACTCACACTCTCTCACTCTCTCTCTCACACTCTCACACTCACATTCACACTCACACTCTCTAACACTCACACTCTCTCTCTAACACTCACACTCTCTCTCTCTCTCTCACACTCTCTCTCACACTCTCTCTCACACTCACTCTCTCTAACACTCACACTCTCTCTAACACTCTCTAACACTCACATTCACACTCACACTCTCACACTCTCTCTCTCTCACACTCACACTCTCACTCTCTCACTCTCTCTCTCTCACTCTCAGTCACTCTCTCACTCACACTCACCCTCTCTAACACTCTCTCACTCACACTCACACTCTCTCTCACTCACTCTCTCACTCTCTCACACTCTCACTCTCTCACACTCTCACTCTCTCACACTCTCACTCTCTCACACTCTCACTCTCTCACACTCTCTCTCTCTAACACTCTCACTCTCTCACTCTCTCACACTCTCAGTCACTCTCTCACTCACACTCACCCTCTCTAACACTCTCTCACTCACACTCTCTCTCACTCACTCTCTCACTCTCTCTAACACTCACACTCACACTCTCTCACACTCACACTCTCACACTCTCACTCTCTCTCTCACACTCTCAGTCACTCTCTCACTCACACTCACCCTCTCTAACACTCTCTCTCTAACACTCACACTCTCTCACACTCTCACACTCTCTCACACTCTCACTCACTCACACTCTCACTCACTCACTCTCACACTCTCTCACTCTCTCACACTCTCACTCACTCACTCTCTAACACTCACACTCTCTCACACTCTCTAACACTCTCTCACACTCTCTCACTCACACTCACTCTTACACTCTCACTCACACTCTCTAACACTCTCTCTAACACTCTCTAACACTCTCTCTAACACTCTCTCTAACACTCTCTAACACTCTCTCTAACACTCTCTAACACTCTCTCTAACACTCTCTAACACTCACATTCACACTCTCTCTAACACTCTCTAACACTCTCTCTAACACTCTCTAACACTCACATTCACACTCACACTCTCACACTCTCTCTCACTCTCTCACACTCTCACTCACACTCTCTCTCTCACTCTCTCTCACTCACACTCTCACTCACACTCTCTCTCCCACTCTCTCACACTCCCTCTCTCTCCGTCTCTCTCTGCTTACCGAGCTTGAGGGCATAGAAAATGTCCTTCTTTTTCTGTCCGTCATCTGCACATTGACAGAGGGACACAAGGACGCACACACAGAGACACGGGGAGACACGGCGAGACGCGGGGAGACACGGGGAGACGCGGGGAGACGCAGGGAGACGCGGGGAGACGCGGGGAGACACGGGGAGAAGCACAGAGACACGGGGGACAGAGGGACACACGGGGACACACGGGGAGACAAAAACACAGCGGTTAGAATACAGGGCACCAACTCAACTATCACGCAAATTCCTTACACGGCTAACAGGGGGACTTCATAGCGGCCGTGTCAGAGAGACGCTGAGGGCCTGGGTTCAAGCCCTGGGTCTGGGTGTCTCTCTCTCTCTCAGGGGGTTCACGATGGCCGTGTCAGAGAGACGCTGAGGGCCTGGGTTCAAGCCCTGGGTCTGGGTGTCTCTCTCTCTCTCAGGGGGTTCACAATGGCCGTGTCAGAGACACTGAGAGTCTGGGTTCAAGCCCTGGGTCTGGGTGTCTCTCTCTCTCAGGGGGTTCACGATGGCCGTGTCAGAGACACTGAGAGTCTGGGTTCAAGCCCTGGGTCTGGGTGTCTCTCTCTCAGGGGGTTCACGATGGCCGTGTCAGAGACACTGAGATCCTAGGTTCGAGTCCTGGGTCTGGGTGTCTAAGGGGGTTCATAATGGCCATGTCAAAGACACTGAGAGCCTGGGTTCAAGCCCTGGGTCTGGGTGTCTCTCTCTCTCTCAGGGGGTTCACGATGGCCGTGTCAGAGACACTGAGAGCCTGGGTTCAAGCCCTGGGTCTGGGTGTCTCTCTCTCTCTCAGGGGGTTCACGATGGCCGTGTCAGAGACACTGAGAGTCTGGGTTCAAGCCGTGGGTCTGGGTGTCTCTCTCTCAGGGGGTTCACGATGGCCGTGTCAGAGACACTGAGAGCCTGGGTTCAAGCCCTGGGTCTGGGTGTCTCTCTCTCTCTAAGGGGGTTCATAATGGCCATGTCAGAGACACTGAGAGCCTAGGTTCGAACCCTGGGTCTGGGTGTCTCTCTCTCTCTCTCGGAGTTCACGATGGCCGTGTCAGAGACACTGAGAGTCTGGGTTCAAGTCCTGGGTCTGGGTGTCTCTCTCTCTCTCTCAGGGGGTTCACGATGGCCGTGTCAGAGACACTGAGAGTCTGGGTTCAAGCCCTGGGTCTAGGTGTCTCTCTCAGGGGGTTCACGATGGCCGTGTCAGAGACACTGAGAGCCTGGGTTCAAGCCCTGGGTCTGGGTGTCTCTCTCAGGGGGTTCACGATGGCCGTGTCAGAGACACTGAGAGTCTGCGTTCAAGCCCTGGGTCTGGGTGTCTCTCTCTCTCAGGGGGTTCACGATGGCCGTGTCAGAGACACTGAGAGTCTGGGTTCAAGCCCTGGGTCTGGGTGTCTCTCTCTCTCAGGGGGTTCACGATGGCCATGTCAGAGACACTGAAAGCCTGGGTTCAAGCCCTGGGTCTGGGTGTCTCTCTCTCAGGGGGTTCACGATGGCCGTGTCAGAGACACTGAGAGTCTGGGTTCAAGCCCTGGGTCTGGGTGTCTCTCTCTCTCAGGGGGTTCACGATGGCCGTGTCAGAGAGACTGAGAGCCTGGGTTCAAGCCCTGGGTCTGGGTGTCTCTCTCTCTCAGGGGGTTCACGATGGCCGTGTCAGAGACGCTGAGGGCCTGGGTTCAAGCCCTGGGTCTGGGTGTCTCTCTCTCTCAGGGGGTTCACGATGGCCGTGTCAGAGACACTGAGAGCCTGGGTTCAAGCCCTGGGTCTGGGTGTCTCTCTCTCTCTCTCAGGGGGTTCACGATGGCCGTGTCAGAGACACTGAGAGCCTGGGTTCAAGCCCTGGGTCTGGGTGTCTCTCTCTCTCTCTCTCAGGGGGTTCACGATGGCCGTGTCAGAGACACTGAGAGTCTGGGTTCAAGCCCTGGGTCTGGGTGTCTCTCTCTCTCAGGGGGTTCATAATGGCCATGTCAGAGACACTGAGAGCCTGGGTTCAAGCCCTGGGTCTGGGTGTCTCTCTCTCTCTCAGGGGGTTCACGATGGCCGTGTCAGATACGCTGAGGGCCTGGGTTCAAGCCCTGGGTCTGGGTGTCTCTCTCTCTCAGGGGGTTCACGATGGCCGTGTCAGAGACACTGAGAGCCTGGGTTCAAGCCCTGGGTCTGGGTGTCTCTCTCTCTCTCAGGGGGTTCACGATGGCCGTGTCAGAGACACTGAGAGCCTGGGTTCAAGCCCTGGGTCTGGGTGTCTCTCTCTCTCTCTCAGGGGGTTCACGATGGCCGTGTCAGAGACACTGAGAGCCTGGGTTCAAGCCCTGGGTCTGGGTGTCTCTCTCTCTCAGGGGGTTCACGATGACCGTGTCAGAGACACTGAGAGCCTGGGTTCAAGCCCTGGGTCTGGGTGTCTCTCTCTCTCAGGGGGTTCACGATGGCCGTGTCAGAGACACTGAGAGTCTGGGTTCAAGCCCTGGGTCTGGGTGTCTCTCTCTCAGGGGGTTCACGATGGCCGTGTCAAAGACACTGAGAGTCTGGGTTCAAGCCCTGGGTCTGGGTGTCTCTCTCTCTCAGGGGGTTCACGATGGCCGTGTCAGAGACACTGAGAGCCTGGGTTCAAGCCCTGGGTCTGGGTGTCTCTCTCTCTCTCAGGGGGTTCACGATGGCCGTGTCAGAGACACTGAGAGTCTGGGTTCAAGCCCTGGGTCTGGGTGTCTCTCTCAGGGGGTTCACGATGGCCGTGTCAGAGACACTGAGAGCCTGGGTTCAAGCCCTGGGTCTGGGTGTCTCTCTCAGGGGGTTCACGATGGCCGTGTCAGAGACACTGAGAGTCTGGGTTCAAGCCCTGGGTCTGGGTGTCTCTCTCTCTCAGGGGGTTCACGATGGCCGTGTCAGAGACACTGAGAGTCTGGGTTCAAGCCCTGGGTCTGGGTGTCTCTCTCTCTCTCTCAGGGGGTTCACGATGGCCATGTCAGAGACACTGAAAGCCTGGGTTCAAGCCCTGGGTCTGGGTGTCTCTCTCTCAGGGGGTTCACGATGGCCGTGTCAGAGACACTGAGAGTCTGGGTTCAAGCCCTGGGTCTGGGTGTCTCTCTCTCTCAGGGGGTTCACGATGGCCGTGTCAGAGACACTGAGAGCCTGGGTTCAAGCCCTGGGTCTGGGTGTCTCTCTCTCTCAGGGGGTTCACGATGGCCGTGTCAGAGACGCTGAGGGCCTGGGTTCAAGCCCTGGGTCTGGGTGTCTCTCTCTCTCAGGGGGTTCACGATGGCCGTGTCAGAGACACTGAGAGCCTGGGTTCAAGCCCTGGGTCTGGGTGTCTCTCTCAGGGGGTTCACGATGGCCGTGTCAGAGACACTGAGAGTCTGGGTTCAAGCCCTGGGTCTGGGTGTCTCTCTCTCTCAGGGGGTTCACGATGGCCGTGTCAGAGACACTGAGAGTCTGGGTTCAAGCCCTGGGTCTGGGTGTCTCTCTCTCTCTCTCAGGGGGTTCACGATGGCCATGTCAGAGACACTGAAAGCCTGGGTTCAAGCCCTGGGTCTGGGTGTCTCTCTCTCAGGGGGTTCACGATGGCCGTGTCAGAGACACTGAGAGTCTGGGTTCAAGCCCTGGGTCTGGGTGTCTCTCTCTCTCAGGGGGTTCACGATGGCCGTGTCAGAGACACTGAGAGCCTGGGTTCAAGCCCTGGGTCTGGGTGTCTCTCTCTCTCTCTCAGGGGGTTCACGATGGCCGTGTCAGAGACACTGAGAGCCTGGGTTCAAGCCCTGGGTCTGGGTGTCTCTCTCTCTCAGGGGGTTCACGATGGCCGTGTCAGAGACACTGAGAGCCTGGGTTCAAGCCCTGGGTCTGGGTGTCTCTCTCTCTCTCTCAGGGGGTTCACGATGGCCGTGTCAGAGACACTGAGAGTCTGGGTTCAAGCCCTGGGTCTGGGTGTCTCTCTCTCTCAGGGGGTTCACGATGGCCGTGTCAGAGACACTGAGATCCTTGGTTCGAACCCTGGGTCTGGGTGTCTCTCTCTAAGGGGGTTCATAATGGCCATGTCAGAGACACTGAGAGTCTGGGTTCAAGCCCTGGGTCTGGGTGTCTCTCTCTCTCAGGGGGTTCACGATGGCCGTGTCAGAGACACTGAGAGTCTGGGTTCAAGCCCTGGGTCTGGGTGTCTCTCTCTCTCTCTCTCAGGGGGTTCACGATGGCCGTGTCAGAGACGCTGAGGGCCTGGGTTCAAGCCCTGGGTCTGGGTGTCTCTCTCTCTCTCAGGGGGTTCACGATGGCCGTGTCAGAGACGCTGAGGGCCTGGGTTCAAGCCCTGGGTCTGGGTGTCTCTCTCTCTCTCAGGGGGTTCACGATGGCCGTGTCAGAGACACTGAGAGCCTGGGTTCAAACCCTGGGTCTGGGTGTCTCTCTCTGTCAGGGGGTTCACGATGGCCGTGTCAGAGACACTGAGAGCCTGGGTTCAAGCCCTGGGTCTGGGTGTCTCTCTCTCTCTAAGGGGGTTCACGATGGCCGTGTCAGAGACACTGGGAGCCTGGGTTCAAGCCCTGGGTCTGGGTGTCTCTCAGGGGGTTCACGATGGCCGTGTCAGAGACACTGAGACTCTGGGTTCAAGCCCTGGGTCTGGGTGTCTCTCTCTCTCTCTCAGGGGGTTCACGATGGCCGTGTCAGAGACACTGGGAGCCTGGGTTCAAGCCCTGGGTCTGGGTGTCTCTCTCTCTCAGCGTGTCCACGTGACGCGGGCGTACGTCCGACGCGTCGCGTCCTACCGGGCCGTGCCGTGGTGCGGCCCTCCAGCCAGCGCTGGGCCTGGGCGCGTCCCAGCGCCGACGCCACGGCGAGGGCCGTGCGGCCGGCGACGTCGGCGCGGTCCGGCTCGGCCCCCCGAGACACGAGCAGCTGGGCCACCGCCACGTCGCCCGAGGCGGCCGCCAGTAGCAGCGGAGTCCAGCCGGTCACGGAAACCGCCTCGTCCACCTGGGTGGCGGGGGGGGGGGGGGGGGGGGGGGGGGGGGGTGGAGGGGGGAGGGGAGCGGGGGGGGGGGGTGAGGGGGGTGAGGGGGGTGAGGGGAGGGCAAACGGGGGGGGATAGGGCCACTCACACCCATTCACACATTCACACATTCACCAACTCACCCACCCGTTCACTCACTCACACATTCACTCACTCACACATTCACTCACCCACCCATTCGCACATTCACCAACTCACCCACCCGTTCACTCACCCACCCATTCACTCACCCACTCACTCACCCATTCACTCACCCACCCATTCACTCAGCCACCCATTCACTCACCCACTCACTCACACATTCACTGACCCACCCATTCACTGACCCACCCATTCACTCACACATTCACTCACCCACCCATTCACTCACACATTCACTCACCCATTCACTCACCCACCCATTCACTCACCCACCCACCCATTCACCCACTCACTGACACATTCACTCACTCACTCACCCACCCATTCCACTCACTCATTCACCAACTCACTCACCCACCCACTCACACCACCACCCACTCACCTCCCCACCCTCCCCACCCTCTCTCCCCCCCCCCCCCACCATCTCACCTCTGCCCCCCAGTCCAGCAGCACCCTGATGACAGCGTCGTGCCTCCCGTAGGCCGCTAGAGCCAGGGGCGGCGGAGCCGTCTCCTCCTCGCAGCTCCACCCAGCACCACCGCCACCACCACCACCGCCACCACCACCACCACCACCGCCACCACCACCACCACCACCGCCACCACCGCCACCACCGCCACCACCACCACCACCACCGCCACCACCACCACCACCGCCACCACCACCACCACCACCACCACCGTCGCCACCACCGCGTCCCGGTTCGGCCCCGGCCTCCAGCAGGGCCCTGGCAGTGGCCGTGTGCCCGGCTCCGGCCGCCAGCGCCAGTGCCGTGCAGCCATAGCAGCCGCGGGCGGCGACGTCGGCACCAGCGGCCAGGAGGGCGAGGGCCACGGAGGTGTGGCCCTCGCGAGACGCCTGGGCGGGGGCCGAGAGGGGAGGGGGGAGGGTGATGGGGGGGGGAGGGGGGGGGGGTGATGGGGGGGGGGGCGAGGGGGGATGTTTTACACCACGTGTCTGTCGAACCAAACAACCATCACCACCACCACCACCACCACCCTCACCACTACCACCACCCTCACCACCACCACCACCCTCACCACCACCCTCACCACCCTCACCACCACCACCCTCACCACTACCACCCTCACCACCACCACCCTCATCACCACCACCACCCTCACCACCGCCCTCACCACAACCCTCACCACCACCCTCACCACCATCACCCTCACCACCACCCTCACTACCACCACCACCACCACCACCCTCACCACCACCATCACCACCACCATCACCACCACCACCACCCTCACCACCATCACCACCCTCACCAACACCCTCACCACCACCTTCACCACCACCACCACCACCTTCACCACCACACTCACCACCACACTCACCACCACCACCCTCACCACCAGCACCCTCACCACCACCACCCTCACCACCACCCTCACCACCACCCTCACCACCACCACCACCCTCACCACTACCACCCTCACCACTACGACCCTCACCACCACCACCCTCACCACCACCACCACCCTCACCACCGCCCTCACCACAACCCTCACCACCACCCTCACCACCATCACCCTCACCACCACCACCCTCACCACCACCACCCTCACCACCGCCCTCACCACCACCCTCACCACCACCACCCTCACCACCACCACCACCCTCACCACCGCCCTCACCACAACCCTCACCACCACCCTCACCACCATCACCCTCACCACCACCACCCTCACCACCACCACCCTCACCACCGCCCTCACCACCACCCTCACCACCACCACCACCTTCACCACCATCACCCTGACCACCATCACCCTCACCACCACCCTCACCACCCTCACCACCACCACCCTCACCACCGCCCTCACCACCACCCTCACCACCACCACCACCTTCACCACCATCACCCTGACCACCATCACCCTCACCACCACCCTCACCACCACCACCACCCTCACCACCACCACCACCCTCACCACCACCACCACCCTCATCACCACCACCACCCTCACCACCGCCCTCACCACAACCCTCACCACCACCCTCACCACCATCACCCTCACCACCACCCTCACTACCACCACCACCACCACCACCACCCTCACCACCACCATCACCACCACCCTCACTACCACCACCACCACCACCATCACCATCACCACCACCATCACCACCACCCTCACCACCATCACCACCCTCACCAACACCCTCACCACCACCTTCACCACCACCACCACCACCTTCACCACCACACTCACCACCACACTCACCACCACCACCCTCACCACCAGCACCCTCACCACCACCACCCTCACCACCACCCTCACCACCACCCTCACCACCACCACCACCCTCACCACTACCACCCTCACCACTACGACCCTCACCACCACCACCCTCACCACCACCACCACCCTCACCACCGCCCTCACCACAACCCTCACCACCACCCTCACCACCATCACCCTCACCACCACCACCCTCACCACCACCACCCTCACCACCGCCCTCACCACCACCCTCACCACCACCACCCTCACCACCACCCCCACCCTCACCACCGCCCTCACCACAACCCTCACCACCACCCTCACCACCATCACCCTCACCACCACCACCCTCACCACCACCACCCTCACCACCGCCCTCACCACCACCCTCACCACCACCACCACCTTCACCACCATCACCCTGACCACCATCACCCTCACCACCACCCTCACCACCACCACCACCCTCACCACCACCACCACCCTCACCACCGCCCTCACCACAACCCTCACCACCACCCTCACCACCCTCACCACCACCACCACCACCCTCACCACCACCACCCTCACCACCACCACCACCACCACCCTCACCACCACCACCCTCACCACCACCACCCTCACCACCCTCACCACCACCCTCACCACCCTCACCACCACCCTCACCACCACCACCCCCCTCACCACCCTCACCACCACCACCACCGCCCTCACCACCACCACCACCACCGCCCTCACCACCCTCACCACCCTCACCACCCTCACCACCCTCACCACCGCCTTCACCACCACCACCACCACCCTCACCACCCTCACCACCACCACCCTCACCACCACCACCACCCTCATCACCACCCTCACCACCACCACCCTCACCACCACCACCACCCTCATCACCACCCTCACCACCACCACCCTCACCACCACCACCACCCTCACCACCACCCTCACCACCACCACCACCACCACCCTCACCACCACCTTCACCACCACCACCACCACCGCCCTCACCTGCATGAGCGGCGTCCACCCGGCGGCGTTGCGAGCGTCGATGGTGGCCCCGCGCCGCAGCAGCTGCTTCACCAGGGCCTCGTGGCCTCCGGCGGCCGCCAGGTGGAGGCCGGTGTCGCCGGAGTCGTCCTCCTCCTCCTCCTCCTCCTCGCCGCCCTCGCCGCCCTCGCCGCCGGCGAAGGCGCCGGCGAAGGCGCCGGCGAAGGCGCCGGCGCGGGTGCAGTCCACCGAGAGGGCCTCGGAGGACTCGAGGAGCGACTGAGCCAGCGCCGAGTCGCCGGACTCGCACGCACGCAGGAAGTCACGGGCACTGGCTCGAGCGCCGCCACCGCCGCCGCTGCCGCTGCCGCCACTACCGCCACTACCACCACCACTACTACCACCACTACCACCACCACTACCACCACTACCACTACTACCACCACCACTACCACCACCACTACCACCACCACTACCACCACCACCACCACTACCACTACCACCACCACTACCACCACTACCACTACCACCACCACTACCACCACTACCACCACCACCACCACTACCACCACTACCACTACCGCCACTACCGCCACCACCACCGCCACCACCACTACCACCGCCACTACCACCACTACCGCCACTACCACTACCACCACCGCCACCACTACCACCACCACTACCGCCACCACTACCGCCACCACTACCGCCACCACTACCACCACCACCACCGCCACCACTACCACCACCACTACCACTACCGCCACCACTACCACTACCGCCACCACTACCGCCACCACTACCACCACCACCACTGCCACCACTACCACCACCACTACCACCACCACTACCGCCACCACTACCACCGCCACTACCACCGCCACCAATACTGCCACTAACGCCGCCACTACGGCCACCAGTACTACAACTGCTACCACCACTACCACTGCCACCACTACCACCACCACTACCACTGCCACCACTACCACCGCCACCACTACCACCGCCACCACTACCACCACCACTACCACCGCCACTACCGCCACCACTGTGACGCGCGGTGCTACCGGCACCGCCACCACCATGACTATCGTTACCCCCGACACCACCACCCCTACCACCACCGCCGCCACCAGCATCGCGTGCCATAGAAGAGGCAGCCTTGCCAGCGGTGGCGGACGAAGAGGAGGGTGGGAGGCTCATGGCGGCGCCGTTGATCTGCATCGCCGCGGTCTGGAAACACAGACATGGTGGTGATGGCAGGGTGGTGGTGATGTTGGTGACATTGGTAGGATGGTGGTGGTGGCAGGGTGGTGGTGATGTTGGTGACATTGGTAGGATGGTGGTGGTGGTGGTAGATCAGTGGTGATGTTAGTGGCATTGGTAGGATGGTGGTGGTGGTGATGGCAGGGTGGTGGTGGTAGAGTGGTGGTGGTGGTGATGGCAGGGTGGTGATGTTGGTGTCATTGGCAGGATGGTGGTGGTGGCTTTGGTAGGATGGTGGTGGTGGCATTGGTAGGATGGTGGTGGTAGATCGGTGGTGATGTTGGTGGCATTGGTAGGATGGTGGTGGTGGTGATGGCAGGGTGGTGGTGGTAGAGTGGTGGTGGTGGTGATGGCAGGGTGGTGATGTTGGTGGCATTGGCAGGATGGTGGTGGTGGCTTTGGTAGGATGGTGGTGGTGGCATTGGTAGGATGGTGGTGGTAGATCGGTGGTGATGTTGGTGGCATTGGTAGGATGGTGGTGGTGGCTTTGGTAGGATGGTGGTGGTGGCATTGGTAGGATGGTGGTGGTAGATCGGTGGTGATGTTGGTGGCATTGGTAGGATGGTGGTGGTGGCTTTGGTAGGATGGTGGTGGTGGTAGATCGGTGGTGATGTTGGTGGCATTATTAGGATGGTGGTGGTGGCATTGGTAGGATGGTGGTGGTGGTGGTAGAGTGGTGGTGATGGTGGCAGGGCAGTGATGTTGGTGTTGATGGTAGTGGTGGTGGCATTGGTAGGATGGTGGTGGTGGTGAAAGTAGGGTGGTGATGGTAGTGGTGCTGGCAGGGTGGTGGTGGTAGAGTGGTGGTGATGGTGGCAGGGTGGTGATGTTGGTGTTGATGGTAGTGGTGGTGGCATTGCTAGGTTGGTGCCTCGCAGCAACAGGCGCCTGAGATTGATTCCCGTACAGCACTTGCCCCTGCAGCCCTGCTAGAGGCTACACGGGGGACCTTTGTCTGTGTGTCTATAGGGCACTGCTGCTGCTACTCACAGCACTTGCCCCTGCAGCCCTGCTAGAGGCTACACGGGGGACCTTTGTCTGTGTGTCTATAGGACACTGCTGCTGCTACTCACAGCACTTGCCCCTACAGCCCTGTAGAGGCTACACGGGGGACCTTTGTCTGTGTGTCTATAGGGCACTGCTGCTACTACTCACAGCACTTGCCCCTACAGCCCTGCTAGAGGCTACACGGGGGACCTTTGTCTGTGTGTCTATAGGGCACTGCTGCTACTACTCACAGCACTTGCCCCTACAGCCCTGCTAGAGGCTACACGGGGGACCTTTGTCTGTGTGTCTATAGGGCACTGCTGCTACTACTCACAGCACTTGCCCCTACAGCCCTGCTAGAGGCTACACGGGGGACCTTTGTCTGTGTGTCTATAGGACACTGCTGCTGCTACTAACAACACTTGCCCCTACAGCCCTGCTAGAGGCTACACGGGGCACCTTTGTCCGTGTTTCTCTCTTCCCCACCGTAAAGACACTTGGCATTGGTGCCCCTGAGGAAGGTGGCATAGCCCGAAACGTCGCCCGTTATAGGTCGTGGGACGCTCGTCCCGACGGTTCGGACAGCGAGCCTCACACCTCAGAGCGGCTGACGAAAATAAGAGGAATTTTTTTAAATATTTTTTTTTTATAAATAAAACGACGACGGCTCCGACAAGCCGTCAAAAAGGTGTTGAGTTACGCGTAAGAAAACAGATTAAGGCAAATCGTTAAAGTTTAAAACCTTTTTATAATGAAACGATGAAACTAAAAATAATGTTTGTTAAGAAGTGTAAAGTTACCTCACCTCAGGAGGGGCGGCAGCTTTCAATTTCGTAGCGCGCTTAGGTGGTCGCGGTGGGCGGTGATTCGGTCGGGAAGCCGCTGCGCGCCTCTGATTGGCCGAGCCGATTGGCCCCGCCCACCCTCGACGGCTCTCGACCAATCAGCGGCGAGGAATTGTGTTTTAATCTCATTAATATTCAGGAATTATAATTTATTCAAATGTTAACCGCCCCGACGGCTCATTCCGCGGCACCGCCCCCCGTCGCCTAGCAACAGGCAAGTCGCCGCCCACAATTCGCCTTGGTGGGGGCGGTGATTCGGTTGGACCACGCCCCATTTTGTCTCTGATTGGCCCAGCCGTTTGGCCCCGCCCGCTCACCCCAACTCCCCACCAATCACGCGCGAGGAATTTTGCGTGTGTTTTCGTTTAAATATTCATGAGGCATAATTTATATTCTTGGTTCTTTCGGTAAAGTCACGTAGAAAGGAAACAATAAAATAATAAAAATATAAAAAATAATATAAAACAATAAAATTCTCACGACGTTACGCCACTTTACCGAAAGAACCGAGAATATAAATCCCTGCAGTCACGAACGCTTTAAATCAAAATTTAATAGCGGTCTATATATTCTTAGCTCTTTCGGTAAAGTCACCACGTTGAAGGGAAACAATAAAATAATAAAATATATATAAAACTATAAAAAATTCTCACGACGTTTCGACCGTAACACAAACGGTCATCATCAGGTGTGAAAAACCAACGGCAAGAAACATTTGAAAGAAGTGGCGGTTTGTATTTATTTATTTGTAAACGGTGTATTTACTTATTTATAAAACGTTAGCACCACGGATAGCGATTTGGCAGTTTGTTTAGATGGACGAGTCCATCTATGTTCTGAAAAGAGGAGGAGGGGGTGGGGAGACGAAAAATTAATGCACGCTGTCTGAAAGCCACCGTAAGCGTGAACAATCAATTAAGACCCGAAATGGTTTATCAAATCCTTCCAATGATTGCTAAGCCAGAATCCATCTTCGCGGTTGAAATTGCCTCTGTGCTTGTACACGTGGATAGCCTCGTGAACGAATCTCTCACGGTAGCCCGATGGCTGGTTTATAGCATAGTTGTAACACAACACAGGACAGAGCAGCTGCATCGTGTCTGTTTCTCTCTCTCTCGCCCCCTCCTCCGTTCCGAGCATAGATGGACTCGTCCGTCTGAACAAAGCTCGTCGCTCTCCGTGGTGCTAACGTTGAGGACAAAAACAAACCGCCACTTTTTTTTCGACGTAGAATTGTAATGTATAACGACGTATTGTTAGTAGCTCAGCTGATTGGAGAGTATATTGAGTTTATTGATGTAGTTTATATTTTAGTTTTTTTATCAGTTTACTAAATGGTATTCATTATATAGTATAGTGGATACCCAGTTACTTTATGGTAATAGCTCAGCTAAATTCTTCTGTTGATATGTAAACTCTGATTTTAACATAGTTACTTCCGTGACCAGTTACACGCTAATCCCTCACACTAACATCATGCTAATCTCCCAGTTACATGCTAATTTCTGACTTTAACATCCTGCTAATCTATCACATTAACACGGCTACTTCATCTTCTTTGGTTCTTTCGGTAAAGTCACCACGTAGAATGAGAATAAAATAATAAATTGATAAAATGAAATAACACAATAAAATTCTCACGACGTTTCGGCCACAACACAAGCGGCCTTCATCAGGTGAAGGGACGAGACTGTCTGGAGGACAGCGCTGGAGCGAACAAAGCCACGCTCAGATCGCGACCTTTAAGCTGTGTGAGAAGAAACAAAGCACCTTGCCAAAGGAATTAGCATATAATTTAGCATGTAAATAGCTGAGTGATTAGCTTGTGACTGGCCACAGAAGTGGCTATGTTAATTGTCAGAGCATGCACATTCACAGAGGCACCTAGTACAAATTTTATTGTGTTATTTTATTTTATCAATTTATTATTTTATTCTCATTCTACGTGGTAGTGACTTTACCAAAAGAACCAAAGAAGATGAATCCTTGCAGTCACGAAAGCTTTAAATCCAAATTTAACAGCTACTTCAATTCTTAGCTCTTTCGGTAAAGTCACGTTGAAGGGAAACAATAAAATAATAAAAAAGTATATAAAACAATAAAAAAATGTGTTTTATTGTTTTATGTATTTTTTATTATTTTATTGTTTCCCTTCAACGTGACTTTACCGAAAGAGCTAAGAATATGAATTACTGCAGTCACGAAAAGCTTTAAATCAAAAGCTACTTCAATGCTAAATTCTTCTGTTGATATGTAAACTCCTTTGTCTAGGCG